AAGGATAGGCAGTACTTTCAAAAACTTTTGCTATCCTGAAGTTGCTGTTTTGAAGGTCCATTGTAGATTTTTCGCTTCTGTTGGGTTCTTAGACAGATAGTCCTTTTTAGCAGTGTCCATTTTTGTAAGTGCTGCTATTTGCTTATTTTTAGGTATCTTAAAGGAGTCTCTTCATTTTCAAATACATGTCATGCATTTGTTTGAATGAAGAACTTACCACTGCATTAACATTACTGTAGAATTCAGGTTCAGTCAACTGCAGGTCGTTGTTTCGCTCTTTGTCAATATTCCAAAAAAGTTTTTTCATCTGAAAATCAAGAGATATGACTTTTAGCAAGTATCAAGAAGATTTAAAATCACCATTTGAAGTACATTTTTAAAAAATAAAGTACTTATATCAACGCAAAATGAGGCGCTATTTTATGCAGGTCTATCCATTTTTTTCTAATCTAGGCTTTTGAAAGTGTCAAAAATTTCGTAAACGAAGTCGCAAATTTTTTTTCCAAAACAAACCTCGTTAACTTTAGCTGCCGATAGCACTGTTTTAACCGCATCGCATAGCTTGTTGATGAGCTTTTGAAGTGACTCCCTTTGATTTAAGAATCCCTTCACTCTCGTTATCATTGCTGTTTTGTTCCCTTCAATGGCTCCTTTAGGCACTGTGGCGCCTTTCTTGACCTAGAAAGGGTTAAGTGACTTACAGCAAGGATTTAAGTGGCTTATTTCACTAACCAAATTTGTCTCAATCCATGTGGTTACTCTTTTAATTTTAGCTGCTATTGTATTGTCTTTGTTCAAGGCAGTGGTTAGCTAAAATTTTCCGTAGATTTTAAGAATGCAAGCCAGAAAGAAATCTGTTGCCTTCAAAAATTCGTGTAATTTGTGAAAAAGCAAGTTGATAAGCCCTACCTTATCAGTTGCATTAGTATTGGCATATTTGAACAGAGTTCTCATTGCCTTATTTGTGATATTTTGCGCTTCTGCACAACCCAGGATGAATAGGACAATTAGGAGTGGCACTTTCATCTAAATTTACAATCTCTCGATGTTCGAAGATCGCGACAACATTGACAATAGGTCCAGAACGTTGTTTATATAAGTGTAAACAATCTGGGAATTTTAAAATATCTAAAATTATTAAATAAACCCAGAAAACTGTTAGTGACCA